CGGCGAAAGGTGCGCACCGAAAATTGTACACCACGAAATGTGCGCACCGGAAGATGCGCACGAGTAAGTTGCGCACGGATAGTTTGCGCACGAAATAAAAAATTCATATTTATACGCCAATAGATAATACAGAGATAGAGAAGTAGCAAGAACAACAATAGTTTTATTTTATTTTCAAAATCATAAAATAATTTTGAGATACATTTGTGATAATACAGTATCTGTTGTTTCTTGAGTATTTTTTACATGATAGCGAAGTCTTCACGAAATTTTCTCAGTGTAATTTTTATTGTATCTCGATTACGGCTTGTTGAATGAGTACCATTTTGTTTTAATGTCATGACATGAGTTTTAGTAATAGTAGAATTACATGTATTCGATAATGACAATTATAAGTTTTATGATTTTCACAACGCCAATATGTTTTTGTTTCGGTTCGACAATTTTAAGTGTATAAATAACCATCTAATATCATTAAGGGACGACCTTTTGTAGTAGTGGCGAATTCGACAGAAGTACACATATTTGCGGACAACTGATAGTGAACCATTTCGAATGTGAATGATCCCTTTTTATATACGTCACACGTTTGTTCTTAAAATGAACTCACCTTAATGAGGTTAAACAAATAAGAAGACTGTCTATTAATTACAGTTTATGATATGGTGGATAATATGACTACTTATTTGTAAGTACTAATTTTTTATTTCGTGCGCAAACTATCCATGCGCAACTTACTCGTGCGCAACTTTCGGGATCCCGATTATTGTATGGATGAATAATTTAATTGATTTTTTTAAATCATCAATTTCATTTGAATCATAAATTTTCTCTAATAATTCCATCACTTTAGTACCAAAAAAACTATCACGTAAATGATTATTCAATTTAGAAAGTAGATCTTTAATTATATAATATTAATTTACACCGGTTATATAATGTTTTGGTAATAATATGTTTGCTTCTTATCCTTCTGTTAATATATTCTTCAAAAAGAATAATGAACAGTCGCCTGTAGAAAAATCTAGATATTGAAACTTGCTCATAAACATCACAAAATGTCTACCTGTATGTGATGTCAAAAAAATCACTTCATACTTTTGGACATGTTTCATTTTTAAGATTCATGAAGTAACTCTTAATTACCGGGTAAATAGCAATTAAACGTTCTTTTGATTGTAACAAACTGAGCCAGCGTATACGAATATGTTGAAGTATAACCTGAGTGAAAACTACAAAGATGAGGTAACATAAAATAGTGAAAAAAGCTGATGGAAGATAGATCAAATATATTTCATTACATTTTGTTCTTGATCAACAAATTCAAAATATTTTCCTAATTCTTGTGAACGTAATGATGATCGACAGAAATGTGAATAAATTTTTAAAATAGCAGCTTCAACATCAAATAATAAGTGATTATTTCCGTGCTTAACTGAATTATGAAGAACGTGGCAATAACAATTACCTGAAAGTGAAACAATGCACAAGACACTTACAAATTTCGAAAACATAACAGGTTTTACCTCGGATTAAACGAGGTATTAATTCATTGAATAACGAAAATACACTATGATTATTTCCAACATTTAAATTTGTATTGTCAGATCCAAGTGAACTAACTTTTTCTAATTCTAATCCATGAGATTCTAATACATATTTAATATTAACAAATAACCCATCAGCTGATTCATGTTACTGTTCAATAAACTCAATAATCCATGTTTTACTCCAAAATCAGAAAAATATTAAGCAATAATAGGCAATATTTTTGTATTTTCTTTATTTGATGCATCATAACAAATTGAGAAATATGCAACATTTTGAAGATCTTGAATTAAAGATCTTGTAAATACTGATGCTAGTACATTACATGCAATTTCACGAGTCTAAACATTAGATAAGTAACATATCCTATAAAGAGACAGAAAATCCTACTTTAGTTTTACTAAACGTGATATTTTTTGCTAAAATATAATCTGAAAAACATTTTTTTTGTCAAGTTGGTGGTACACCCTCAAGATAAATAACTATGGGAATGCTTGACACCGTGAAATACTAAAGCTCCTTCAGCAGCACATAGACGATTAAGTTCTGATGTAGCTGAATTGAATATTGAATTTATTGTTTTAGCTACAAAGAAAAACAACATACCTGGAATATTTTTTATTAAAATCGATAGGGAAAACATTACATTTATTTGATTCAGCTGATTTTAAACAGTATTGATGTTTTTTTGTTTTCATATGATTATTTATATCAGTTATTCCACTGTTTTGAATTGAGAATTGAATATTACAAATAATACGCAAGGCTTTTGTTGTATCATTTTTACACTCTTTTAAAAACGAAGAATATGTTGAATCAGACAACCACTCTTTTTTTAAATTTTGATAAATAACGTTTGGTAATTGCTACAGATGATGATGATGATGAAGTTCTAAATTTTGAATTATTTTTTAGTGAACTAGAATCAGAATTTGTTACAGATTGTGGCACAACATTTTCCTTTAATGGATTTAACGCTTCATCAACCTCATCTTCTTCCACCGAAAATATTTTGATAAATATTTAAGATCTTCTTTCTTTGTATTTACAATATATAAGTTCTTGGAGTAGAATTTATTTCTGAGAGTTAATTAATAACTTTAGCTTCCTAAATATCGGCAAAATTAATATATTCTGTTATTGGTTGCTGCGTTCATCAAATAGTGTGATGCTTGTGTTCTTCTCTTATTTTTTTTTCTTTTTCTTGTCTTATTTTGGTGATTCAAAATGTCGCTAAAAGTCAAGGCGAGAAGAAAATTTTGAAACCAGGAGAAACCACGAGAAAATCACAAAAACCAGCTCCTAGTACCAAGAGATTTTTTAACTAGGAGAAAAGGCTAAAAACCAGGAGTCTCCTCGCTACATCAGGAGGTTTCGCAGCCCTGGTCCGAACATCCTTTATGGATGACTCTTAAGAGAATAAAAGCAAAAACATCAAATGATACAATGTGAATAATTAGTATTAATGTAATTTTATTAGAAATGCGCAAAACAGTTATATGACTATGTTACCAAATCAAATTCTTGCACAAGTTCATAATTTTCGTCATCCATTTCCATTGTGTCCACATCATCATTCATTATTATTTCAGATTCATTGTTATCATTCTTCGTTTGTTTAAATTTCTCAACTTTTGATGATGACCATTTATTGACTTGCCATGGAACAGTTCCAGTAATTTTATTCATCACTTCTATTACAAATAAAAGTGCTGCTTTCTTCTCTGCAAAGATTACTTCGACATTCGCTAATGCATGAACATATTGATTATATGCATTTAATGGTTTATTCCAATTAATAAGGTAGTGCAATTCATTCTTTGCTTTCTTTAATGCAAATTTTAAATTGGTTAACAAATGACCACTACGATATGTTTGAGAAGAATATTCTCTAAAACATGAGTGAATGCATAATGATAATTTTTTACTACACATTATTCCGTTATTTAATGATCGAAAAAATGGCACACCGAATGCTGCATCACCTACTAAACATGTATATTGTTTTTTTTCTTCGTTATAATATACAAATTCGGATGATTGATACACTGCCAGAGTAATACAGGTGATTTTTTCTGAATTTTCTATTCTTTGTTCATTAGCATAATCTTTTTTAACATTAAACCAAATTGTTATTGTTTCTAATAAATCTTTAGGTATGAGATGTTGATGACTATGTAAATAATAAGGTTGTTTAAATGTTGCTGATTTCATTTGTTCATAGATTTGTTTATCAATTAATAAATGTAATGTTATTGGTGTTCGGTTCTCCTTTTGAGTTCCAATATGCTCATCAACAAGATATTTTAATTGTTTCTGTGTTCGATATTGATATTTAATAAAATCTAATTTTTGACCTTGACCATTAACTTCATATTTTATTTCTATAACATATTTTAACACTTTTTCATATTCCATTTTATTGTTAAATACAAGTTGACGAACAATGGAATGAGAACCATCGGCACCAATGATCACTCGAGAATCAGAAAATTGATTTAAATTCTCTATATTCCTATGTACAATAGGAATTTGTAATTGTTTAGATAATTCTAATAATTGTGATTCTAACACGCTTGTTCGTACAACAGATGGTAAATTGTCAATCATATTTTTCAATAATAGAGATGGAGGCAAACCAAAAAATGTTCTCATTTTATTTAAACGCAGAATATGATTACGTTCATATTGTTGATGTTTCTCATAGATAACCAGATTTACTTGTGGTAAAAGGATTTTTATTTGAATGGCTGTAAATAAACCAACTGGTCCACCTAAATATAAACAGAAAATATTTTAGTTCAATAATCATTCGCTTTTAATACCCCCAATAACTACAATTTGTGGAGATTGTTCTTCGTCGATTAGATTACTCATTCTATTCTTGTTTTATATGTCTGTATTTGTCTTCTTTACTTTGTATCGGTCGTGAAATTGAAGCTGCTATTTTTTTAGAATAAAATATTCTTTCTTTCAAATGAAAATGCGACTTTTGTGATGTTATTGCTTGAAAGTTGAGATATTTACTCAAGAACTGAGTATGCGATCAGTTATTAGGAAGAAAGAAAGAAGAAGAGATAACTATTTTTATACTAGCAAATAGATTTTTAATAAATGCAGCAACAAATTCCTATTTTAGAGTTAACTGGTCGTGGGCATTTTTTATGAATAACTTTAGAACAACAAAAACTAAGCAGCTCGAATTTCCAGCGATTATTGAAGTCGGCACTGCTTTGTCTTTTTGCATAATTGACGAAAAAACTTTGTTGCTTTTCTTGTTTAACGTGTGATGAGTTTCGAAAAAAATTTCTATCTGGCATGGAAAAATATAAAATTTTAATTTTTATACCCGGTGTACCAAAAGTTTTGCGGCATTTTTAATTTCACATACAGTTCGACTTGACAAAATGATAAAACGTTGGTTTATTTTTTAAAAGGTGTACCGTGAAAAATTCTACAAAATTGTATAAAAAAATTTCTATTGACTTTTTCTGATCGGTCTTCCCATATTGAAAATGAAAAAGCAATACGATAGTGCTTTGTGTCTCACTGCATTGAGTATAATAAAAGTGTTTGAAAGACTTTTCGTTTGGTTCGGAAAGATGCTAAAATCTTGATTTCTCTTGTAAAAGATGCGCCGTGTAAAGCTCCACAAAAACTGTATGAACAAATCTCTATTGCAAAACAAAAAAGATTTTGCAAAGATTTTTTATTACCCTCTCATGTAAACACGAAACGCAAAATCGATGCGTTGCAACGCAGTTTGACAATAAAATGCGTTGAGACGCGTTGAGACGCGTGCCCAAAAATCATTTAATGCGTTTGAATGCATTTTATCTAATAACTGCGTCCAAACGCGTCTCAGATATTCTTCCGGTCGCGTTCGGATGCTATTATGTTTCTGAACGCGTTTGTACGCGTTCATTTCTCGCATTTTCGATGCGATTTTACTCCAAAATTTTTTTTCTAGAAGGGCGAGCCCCATGATCAAAATCTTCAGCTTACATCTGTTTTATTTATCTAAACTTCATTGGACTTTTTAATGAAGAATGCTCTGATGACGTTAAAATAGACAAAAATTGAATTAAACATAAGTCATATAGTAATCCATATCCAGAGCAGACAAGAATTTGAAAAAATGCGTTTAAACCCTATAATCGGGAGACCGTGATTGTGATCCACTCACGCTCAAAAAAATAACGCCGTTTGTTGCGTGTTTCGCGTTTTTTT